TTTTTTTTTTTTTTTAATGAATGATATACATAAAAGGCTTATAAAATAAACTGTTTTGATTGTCAAAATAGGATTCGTGGGGAGTCTTATGAGCCCGGACAATACAATCCAATTTGTTGGAGAGAAGCTGGGATCTATAGAAAATGCACACAAAGTATAATGTATAATTAAAATTCATCTTGAGTACTACGTGAGTTATGTTTAAAATAAATTTAAATCATATAGTTCACATTTTGCACATCTTTTGTGTTTTAATCAGAGTGATGCTATTAGCACCCCATGAATTATTTTAGACCCTCATTTCTTTGGACCCCCACTTATAAATTTTGAAACCCTCAATTTTTTTTCCTTTCAAATAATACCAAATTTATCCTTGTAAAAACATTCTACCCATTGAATGCACGCCCCCCCCCCCCAACCCCACACCCAAAAAAAAAAAACATCTCTTCCAAAAAATCCTAATAAAACCCACCAAGAAGAAGACAAGCCAATGTGCTTACTGTTTCTGCTGTCTCATCTACTATTGTCTTAGTTTGTATGCTCTCTCTCTCTCTCTCTCTCTCTATATATATATATATATTTATATACACACATAATTTCTTAGTTTTCTCATAATAATTTTTTCTTTTACAGAAAAAAAATTATAATAATTGGTTTGGTTGATTTTGTTGGTAGATATTATAAAATTGTGAGTTCGGCAGAGAACTACGCAACATTATCAAGGCTGTGCGATGAAGGAATAACTTTTGAATATGATAATGGATTTGGGCTACTTTCGATAACTTTTCTAAGTGTTAAAAATTTGGCCATTCAATGTGTTAAGAAATTTTCATGTTCGGACCTGCATTCCCAAGCATTACTTATTTGTTCGGGAATGCCTTCCCGAATAAATAAGTAATGTTTAGATTTGTATTCCCGAATTTGAAGAAATAAAAACTTCTGTAAGCATTAACAATTTTGACCGTCCAATATGCTAAAAAATTTCAATGAAAAAATAAAAACTACTGCAAGCGTTAACAATTTTGACCGTTCAATATGCTAATAAATTTCTATGTTTAGACCTGCATCCCTGAACATTACTTATTTGTTCGGGCTTATGTTTCCCAACAAATAAGTAATGTTCGAGCTTGTATTCCTGAACTTGAAAAAATGAAAACTTTTGCAAATGTTAACAATTTTAACCGTTCAATGTGTTAAGAGATTTCTATGTTTGGACCTACATTCCCGAACATTACTTATTTGTTCGGGAACACCATCCTGAACAAATAAGTAATGTTTAGGCCTGTATTTTGCCAAAGGGTTGCCACTGTTACCGCTAGAACATTGCCATTGCCAGATAAGTGTAAGTAGTCAAATGGTTGCCACTATTATCGCCGGAATATTACTGCCAAAGAGTTTTCAAGGTTTTGAAGGTGGGATTTGGAGAAGATGGATGCGTGGTGATTGAGGTAGTTGCTCTCATAAACCCTAATTCATGATGTAGTGGGTATTTTAATTGTGAGATTGAGTATCCCAAGATTAATGATGTCATTTTTAGTAATTTTATTTGAGATTATTATTGTAATAAAAAAAAGTTAAAAATTATGGAGTCCAAAATAGTTTATGAAGTGCTAATAACAGCACTCTTCAATTATTTGCATGTAGCATTGTTATTTGTTTATTTATTTTTGTTGGAGGGGCCATTAAATGAAAAACAATTAACATTTTGGATTTAGTGGTTTTAAAATTCGAGAAAAAGTAAACCCTAAACCCCAAACATAATGTTAGGAGTGTTCAACGGATATATCGATTTGTTCAAATCGATCGAATTTAACCGATTCGTTGTATTTTGAATGAATGCGTAATAATAAGCAAACAGATACAGATTGATTTTCTCAAATTCACCTAGTTTTGGTCGGATGGAGGATTGGAAGTTCTCACGCCGCAACCGAATCGTGAACACCCCTAATTTGCAGTCATTGCTAATGTAGAGATTTGTTGGATTATTATCCATGCTTGTAGTCATTATTAATAAGACAGATTGGATTGTTATCCCAAAAAAAAGAAACAAACAATTTTTGTCGACAAGTTTTATTATGTTGAAAATCTGTAAAATATAAACTGCCAAACCGATTCGCATCCATCTGTCAATTCGGAAAACGGTTGCGAATTAATTTTTTCCAATCTACTTAGTTTTGGACAAATGACGGATTGAAGGTTCACAAATCACAACCAAACCGCAAACTCTTCTACTTGTGTGTAAGTCATAATCAAATGATCAGTATATTCATAAACTAACATCATTGTTTTTTAACTAAAATTTATAATCTTTTAATAGATACAAATTTTTTTACAAAATAAGACATAAATGTAAAAAAAAATAAAAAAAAAATAAGCAGCAATGGTTGGTGGCCCGAAAATATGTGGTTAGAATGGCTCGAAACACCCAAAACGACATCGTTTTGTATGTAAAACGACATCGTCTTGCCATTTTCGAGCTATTCGAGCCACATATTTTCGGACCACCAAACATTTTTCAAAATTAAGTTTTACACGAGGTGGAGTCTCCATATGTATGTCACATTGGGTAAAAATTTGTGCAGTAATATTAAGAACACATAAGCCAAACACATATGTTGACATGTGGATTCAATATCATATGTATGTCACATTGAATAAAAATTTGTGCAATAATATTAAGAACACATGAGCCAAACATATGTTGACATGTGGATTCAATATCATGTGAATTCCGCCTTAGTATAAGAAATCTTGTATTTGACTTCGGTACAGTACAATAGGTTTTTTGAAATTTTTGTAGATAGAATTACTACAAACTTTTTTAATTTCTCACTTGAGTGAGGATTATTGAGACTTTATTGGAAGTTGAGAAACATCCGTGAGCATAACGAAATCGTGACCATCCACAATAGCATTTAAGGCCACCCACCATACCTCTAAGTTATGAATTTTTATGTTGTGTTTGGTTAGAAAATTTGAGTAGAAATTTGAAAAGAAAAAATAAAAAATTAGGTGAAATTTAAATAAAATATACTTATATTTCATATAATTTCACATAGCTTTTCTCTTTTTATTTTCAAATCCCTCCTCACCCAAACACAGCATTAAATTTATCAATGTTACATGTATTAATTAATATATTAATATTATTATTGATCTTATTCATTATACAAATTATAAATATCAAAAAAAATTTAAATTATATCACATTATATATTAATATACTAATTAATATATTAATTAATACATAAAACATTATTCCATAATCTCACCACCACTTATAAATACAGCACCAACCACTCCGTCATCTTCACAAACAAATCGCAAAACATTTCAAATCACCCCCTTCCTATTCAAATCACCACCGTTGATTCTACTTTTTTCCGATCAGCACCACAATGGCCGAAGAGAAGCACCACCACCACCACTTCCACCACCACAAGGACGACGAAGACAAGCCCATCGATTCAGCTCCTTATTCCGGCACCACCACCGGATATGGTGACACCACCACCGGATATGGTGGCACCACCACCGGCTACGGTGGCGTTGAAGAAGTGACCACCTATGGTGAGACCACCAACGCCTATGGAAGCGGTGGTGGAGGGAGTGAGTATAGTGAGAGTACTGGTGTTTATGGAACTACAGCACCTCCTCGTTTTTCTGAGGAAACCCCTGATTTTGAGAAAGAGGTTAAGCAACACAAGCACCGTGAGCACCTTGGTGAGCTTGGTGCTGTTGCTGCTGGCACTTTTGCCTTGGTAATTATTATTCTTCTCTTATGTATCCATCTATCCATCTATCACTTGGTTTAGTAAAAATTGGTTTAGTAAAATTTCTTCTTTTCATATCACTTGGTAATTTTATATATATTAAAATAAAAAAATTATTATACATGGCGTAAGTAAATTTTAAATTCAAGACCTTGAATTTCATTAAAAATATATTTATTATTTAAACAATATACATATTATGATATTAAATTTTTTATTATTTATTTTTATTATTAATTATTTGAATTATATACACATTGTGTGTGTCACTCATATATAGATATAACATATATGTCTGTATGTGCGTGTGTGTGGAGTGAGTGGGAATGTAAAACAATGGAAAGTAGAGAGAAGGGAACATACGAAAGGTTTGAGGATAGTGTCAGTCTCGCATATTATGGAATAGATAAAGCTCTTTTTTGACTTCTCTTATATGGGTTGCATATGCATGTTGCGTGTGTCACCAGTTAGTACTATTATTATTAAGTGAAAATTTAGATTAATTTAGTAAAATTTCTTTTTTCTTATATTATGTGCTAACTTTATATATATTAAAATAAAAAAATTATTATACATGGCGTAAGTAAATTTTAAATTTAGAATCTTGAGTTTCATTAAAAATATATTTATTATTTAAACAATATACATATTATGATATTAAATTTTTTATTATTTATTTTTATTATTAATTATTTGAATTATATACACATTGTGTGTGTCACTCATATATAGATATAACATATATGTCTGTATGTGCGTGTGTGTGGAGTGAGTGGGAATGTAAAACAATGGAAAGTAGAGAGAAGGGAACATACGAAAGGTTTGAGGATGTTGTGTAAGTCTCGTATAATATAGAATAGATGAAGCTTTTTTTTTGACTTCTGTTATATGAGTTGTTTTGGGGCTTACAATAGGTTTGGATATTTAAGAGAGACCGAAAAAAAACAAATGATCTATTTAAGGGAAAATATATTGCAAATTCTCTCCTTCCGTGATTAATCTATAGACAAAAGAAAAGAAAATATAATAATTTATCTATAATCTGGTTGGATATACTACATAAAACAAAATAAAATAAATATTGAGTGTTGCTATTAGCACCTTATTTATTATTTTGAACCCCTCATTTTTTACCTTTTTTTTATTACAATAATAACCTTAAATGAAATTACTAAAGAGTGCACCAATCATTTTAAGACTCCTCATCTCACAACTAAGCCCACACACACACTAAATCACGATAGGGTTTATGAGAGTACCCACCTCCATCACTACCCATCCATCTTCTCCAAATCTCACCCTCAAAACCTTAACAGTGCTTTGATGGCAACAGTAGCAACCATTCGATTACACATACTTCTCCAACAATATTAATGAGTGAAAAATTTTTAGGCAACCACAACTTCATAAAACGAGAGGAGTACAACAATGTAAGTTTAGAAAAAGTTCATAATTTTGATGTGTTCTTAGCTCGGAGGAGGTAAGCCTTGTAATGGTAAGTTTCTTGAAAAATACAACAAAAATGGCAAAAATTGTTCGTATTTTTTTCAGTACTGAACTCCTGAACATATGACTAAAATTCAAGAATACATGTTCGAACATTGCTGATTTGTTCAAGAATACAGGTCCGAATATGAAAATTTAATACACTTTGAAGAGTTAAAATTGTTCATATTTACAGAGTTTTTGTTTTACCAAGTTCGGGAACAAATGCCCAAACATTGGTTATTTGTTTGGAAACACAAGTCTTAACATAGCTTATTTGTTCAAAAACACGGGTCCGAACATTCACAGTGAAAGAGAGAGTAGAGAGACATCAGGGGGTGGGGGAGGAGCGAGATTGAGATTGAGCAAAATGTAGATTTGCTCTCTCTTCGAACTATACTTACACATAGAGACATATATTTATATTCGTTGTTTTCAGGGTTTAAGGTTGATCAAATAAATGGATGGAATTGAAGGAAGACATACGCATAATGCGAAGAAAAAAGTAAAGATCATAGAAAACACATTCCTTACCCCAATCAATTCATTTTAAGAATATTTTTCTTCCACCGTCATGAGAGAGAGAGAGAGAGAATGGGTTTTGAAGATTTTTTTTTTAATTTTTTTTTTTTATGGTTTTGAGAGATAATGATTTTTAGAAGTGTAGGGATGTGCATTTGAACGGAAGTGAAATTTTTATAAGGATAACTTTGGTATTATTTAGAAGGAGGAAAGATATTTTAAAGGTTTTAAAATTTATACTGTAATGAGGATTCCAAAGAAATAGGGGGTCTAAAATAATAAATGGTATATTAATAGCAGCATTCATAAATATTATAGGTTATATTATCAAAATACCATAACCTAACTTCATTTTTTTTTCCTCTTGTCACTTTTAAATTGATGTCAAGTACCAATCAATTTTAATTTCCTAATTTTGTATCCAATCCTCATCCCTCATTGATAATGAGTCCCATAAGCCTGATGAACACCAACTCCAAAAAAAAAAATGATCAAATGATCTTAATCACACGATATATTGACTAATATTAAGTGATCTGTGATTGAATTTGACCAACCATACACATAGATATATATATTTATCTTTGTTGTTTTCGGGTTTAGGGTTGATCAAAGAAATGGATGGAATTGAAGAAAGACATACACACCTAATGCGAATAAAAAAGTGAATATCACAGAAAATACGTTCCTTACATAGATCGATTCACTTTAAGAATATTTTTCTTTCACCGTCATGAGAGAGAGAATGGGTTTTGAAGATTTTTTTTTTTTTTTTTTTTTTTTTTTGTGATGGTTTTTATGGTTTTGCGATGGTTTTTAGGAGTGTGGAGGTGTGCATTTGAGTGGAAGTGAAATTTTTATAAAGATAACTTTGGTATTATTTGGGTGAAGGAAAGAAATTTTAAAGGTGTTAAAATTTGTAATAACGATTTCAGAGAAATAGGAGGTCCAAAATAATAAATATGATGCTAATAGCAGTACTCATAAATATTACAGGTTATATTATCAAAATACCGTAACCTAACTTTGTTTTTTTTTCCCCTCTTGTCGGCTCCTGTCACTTTTAAATTGATGTCAAGTACCAATCAATTTTAACTCACTAATTTCATATCCAATCCTCATCTCTAATTGATAGTGAGTCCCATAAGGCTGATGAAAATCCAACTTTAAAAAAAAATGATCAAATGATCTTAATCGCACGATGAATTGACTAATACTAAGTGATCTATGATTGAATTTGAACATCCATACACATAGATACATATTAATATTTGTTGTTTTCAGGGTTTAGGGTTGATCAGAGAAATGGATGGAATTGAAAGAAGACATACGCACCTAATGCGAAGAAAAAAGTGAAGATCACAGAAAACACATTCCTTACACGATCGATTCACTTTAAGAATATTTTTCCTTCGCCATCATTAGAGAGATAATGGGTTTTGGAGAATTTTTTTTTTGTTACAGTTTTGGAAGAAAATGGTTTTAACAGTGTGGGGGTGTGCATTTGAGTGGAAGTGAAATTTTTATAAGGATAACTTTGGTATTATTTGGGAGGAGGAAAATTTTTTTGAGGGTTTTAAAATTTATAAGGAGAGTTCCAAAGAAATAGAGGGTTCAAAATAATAAATGAGATGCTAATCACCTTGCTTGGTTTCCAGTTTTCCAAAACACTTTTCAAAAAATTCTACTTTCTTATTTCCGTGTTTTTTTGTTTTTACTGAATTTTTTTAATATTTTAAGCAATTTTTTTACTTTTTATATACACCTAACATAAATAAACCTAAAAAGTAAAAAAATTGTAAAAAAAATCTTTTAAAAATTCACTAAATACCAAAGATACAAAAAATAAAATAAAATACAAGAATTCAGTACATTTTTTGTATTTTTATGTATTTATTAATTTTTTAAAATAATTTTTCACAATTTTTTTACTTTTTAGATACATTTAAGTAAGGTGCATCTAAAAAAGTAAAAAAAAATGTTTAAAATTTAAAAAATATTGATTGAAAACAAAAAAACACAAAAACCAAAAAAGTCAATTTTCAAAAAACTTAATCCAGAAAACTCAAACCAAACACAGTGAATAGTAACACTCATAAATATTATAGGTTATATTATCAAAATACCCTAACCTAACTTGTTTTTTTTTTCCCCTAGTCGGCTCCCGTCACTTTTAAATTGGTGTCAAGTACCAATCAATTTTAACTCGCTAATTTTGTATCCAATCCTCATCCCTATCTGATAGTGAGTTCCCTAAGGTTGATGAAAATCCAACTCCGAAAAAAAAAAAAATCAAATGATCTTAATCGCACTATGAATTGACTAATGCTAAGTGATCTATAACTGAATTTGAACATCCATACACATAGATATATGTACGGGGAGCAAATATTCCGGCAAGCCCGTATTCCTTTCTTCCGAGCTCCGTCGATGTCCGATCACCTGTGAGCAAGTAATGGTGAGCTACCCGGAGGTGTGTGGCCGGAAAAACCCTCTGACGGTCAAGTTAGCACACACCTTAAGAGGAGTAGAGAGAAGGGAGAGAGGGTTTGAGTGTAAGAATTCCTTACAGAGATGTTTGTGTGTTGCGTATGGGGGGCGCAGACATACTTATATACCTTCTGAGCCCCATATCCACTCCCAGTCATCTCCTGACACGTGGCTCTACTATCCCATCTGTCAGCATAAACCATGCCATTCATCACCTAACCTCAACTGCCTGTCATCACAGCTGGAGCTCGGCAGCCGAGCTGCTCTACCTCGGTCATGCCATGCTTCATACTTCAAGCGCCTAACCGGATAAACACACGGAGGACCGGGCTAGGCGGCATCCCGGCTGAGCCTACCCCGGATACTTTGATCGGCCTTCCTGTCGGTCAAACAGTCTCCTCGGCTGACCATGCCTTTCCGGGCATCGGTCACTCAACTTCCTCGGTTGTCCACGCCTTCCCGGGCACCGGTCACTCGGCCAATCGAGCTTTGGCCATCTTCGGACCGAGCATCCTGGTCCGACCGAGCACTGCCTTACCGAGCAGTTTTTGTCCGGTCCGGGGTGACACACTCAGCCCGAACTCTGCCCAGCCCAAGTCTGGGCAGAAAGTCGATCATCTCGGACCCACGCATCGTTGGGCCCTCAACTTGCTCGGCCGTTACCTCGGCCCAACTCCAGATCACAAATCACCCTCTCAATTGCCCCTTAATTTCGTCCGCGGAAGCGTGACTGGGATTACTTACTTCGACCGAGATAACATTTCTCCGGTCTTTAAGACGCCAAGCCTCGACCGGGCTAGTCGACGTAGTCTGCAGACTTGACCGGTTATATTCCCTAGCTGACCTCCTCTTCGTCGAAAGTAGCTCGGTTGGCTCTTCGTCTTTTTAACCCGTCGCTTCAGTCCTGACGTAGCCATAAACGGGGACACGTGGCGGCCTGCCATTGGTCATCGGGCAGCCAACCCGCCGTTTTTGCCAGAATTTGAATTTGGGCGGTCTCTTTTGCCTATACATACATGCCCCCCATCATTCCATTTCTTCCCACTGCTGCTTCCATTTTTGACGATTCTGAAGCTCTAGCCTTTTCCTCAAACTCGACTGCCATTCTTTGTGATTGTAGGATTAGGCCCTGCCCTTCTCTGGTAAGTCATTCTACCTTTATTCTGTTGCCATTTTCTTTTATATTACACACATTAGGGCACAAAAACGTAGCTCCATAGAATCCGTCCCAAACTTCCCACTGTTCTTGGTGTTCTTCATATTCATGAAGAACACTGAAGAACTGGGGCGAACCGGGCTCTTGGTCCTTTTTTTGATCCAAAAAACCAGCTTAACCGAGCAAATAACAAGTTCGTCACAACCCCAGCAGAAACCGAGATAATAAGGGGGCTTGGTCGCTCAACCGGGCTAAGATCTGGTCTGCTTGGGCGACCGGGCTCCTTAGTTAGAATAGATAACCGAGGTGGTTTGGCGTTGCTTGGGCGACCGAGCTCCTTAATTAGACAACCGAGGTGGTTTGGCACCCTTACTGACCGAGCTGAAGTCTAGCTACGGGGAGCAAATATTCCGGCAAGCCCGTACTCCTTTCTTCCGAGCTCCGTTTATGTTCGATCACTTGCGCGCAAATAATGGTGAGCTACCCGGCGGTGTGTGGCCGGAAAAACCCTCCGACGATCAAGTTAGCACACACCTTAGGACAGAGAGAGAGAGAGAGAGAGAGGTGTTTGAGTGTAAGAAATTCCTTACAAAGTGTTCGTCTGTCCGCGTATGGGGGGCGCAGACCCGCTTATATACCTTCTGCGCCCCAAATCTACTCTCATTAGTCTCTCGACACCTGGTGCTGCTATCCCATCTGTCAGCACAAATCACGCTGAACATCACCTAACCCAACTGCCAGCCCACTCTATTGGGAGCTCGACAGTCGGGCTGCAGCTTCTCGGCTGCCAACAGCCATACTGCACTTCAAGACCAAGTGCTTCCAATAACCGTGCTTCGTTTCAGCCGTGCTCGACCGCATTCCGGCGACGCCGAGCACGAGATTGGTCATTCCGGTCAACCAAAGGCCTTCCTGCCGAGCTTCATGCCGAGCTATGGGTGCGCGCCTTCCGACCGAGCAACGTACAAACCGTGAAGCCCTTCTAGGCTGCGGACGTCTCAGCCGAGCTCTCACTTGACCGGCCTTCATACCAAAGAGCCCAAGTAGCTCGGCTCCGCAGGCCCTTTGCCATTACTGAGCAAAACCACGGCACAATCTTGAAGCCAAATACCTCGGCCCAATCTTGTTTGGCCGAAACTAGATCATAAATCTCCCTCTCAATTGCCCCTTAATTCCGTCCGCGCTAGCGTGACTGGGATTACATTTCAAGGCCAGGCTAGGCTTTTTGCTTGGTGATCCACTTTCTTCAGCAAGGAACCCCAAGGAAGGTGAGCAAGGTCCGCTCGGCGACTTCCCTCTTGGCGAGCAAGATCAGCTCGGCCAAGGAACTCCAAAGAAGGCGAGCAAGGTTCGCTCCGCCACTTCCTTCTTGGCGGAAGAGATCAGCTCGGCCAAGGAACTCCAAAGAAGGGGAGCAAGGTCCGCTCCGCGACTTCCTTCTTGGTGGACAAGATCAGCTCGGCCAAGGAACTCCAAAGAAGGCGAGCAAGGTCCGCTCCGCCTCTTCCTTCTTGGCGGACAAGATCAGCTCGGCCAAGGAACTCCAAAGAAGGGGAGCAAGGTCCGCTCCGCCTCTTCCTTCTTCGCGGACAAGATCAACTCGGCCAAGGAACTCCAAAGAAGGCGAGCTAGGTCCGCTCTGCGACTTCCTTCTTGACGGACAAGATCAGCTCGGCCAAGGAACTCCAAAGAAGGCGAGCAAGGTCCGCTCCGTGACTTCTTTCTTGGCGGACAAGATCAGCTCGACCAAGGAACTCCAAAGAAGGCGAGCTAGGTCCACTCCACCTCTTCCTTCTTGGCGGACAAGATCAGCTCGGCCAAGGAACTCCAAAGAAGGCGAGCAAGGTCTGCTCCGCCTTTTCCTTCTTGGCGGACAAGATCAGCTCGGCCAAGGAACTCCAAAGAAGGGGAGCAAGGTCCGCTCCGCGACTTCCTTCTTGGCGGACAAGATCAGCTCGGCCAAGGAACTCCAAAGAAGGCGAGCAAGGTCCGCTCCGCCTCTTCCTTCTTGGCGGACAAGATCAGCTCGGCTAAGGAACTCCGAAGAAGGCGAGCTAGGTCCGCTCCGTGACTTCCTTCTTGGCGGACAAGATTAGCTCGGCCAAGGAACTCCAAAGAAGGGGAGCAAGGTCCGCTCCGCGACTTCCTTCTTGGCGGACAAGATCAGCTCGGCCAAGGAACTCCAAAGAAGGGGAGCAAGGTCCGCTCTACGACTTCCTTCTTGGCGGACAAGATCAGCTTGGCCAAGGAACTCCAAAGAAGGCGAGCAAGGTCCGCTCCGCCTCTTCTTTCTTGGCGGACAAGATCAGCTCGGCCAAAGAACTCCAAAGAAGGCGAGCAACATTAGCTCGGCTGAAACTTCGGAGTTGAACAAATCATCAACCCGTCAGCTGGAGCAAATCATCTCGGCTGGAACCTCGGAGTTGAACAAATCATCAACTCGCTAGCCGGAGTAAAATATCTCGGCTGGAACCTCGCAGTCGAGCAAATCATCAACTCTTCAGCCGAAGTAAAACATCTCAGCTAGAACCTCGCAGTTGAGCAAATCATCAACTCTTCAGCCGGAGTAAAACATCTCGGCTGGAACCTCGCAGTTGAGAAAATCATCAACTCTTCAGCCTTCCTGATTATATTCACAACTTTCCCTATTCTCCAACGGGGTGACAAACTAGGTTGGTTCAGTATCCAGAATTAAGGTGCATACACATGCTATCTCAATGAAGCACTCTGATGTTTCTATTTGTAACATTAGCTCGTTCTTTATGGTTGCAATCATCATAATTATAAAAAATGGAATGGATTTCAACCTACTCATGGGCCAGGTCACTTTGTTCAACTGCTAGGGCTGGGTTACTAAGGCCAACTAAACATAACATTATTATATATACACACTATGTTCCATGGACTAGGATATGGGGTCGGATGCGGGTATGTGTCTAAGCGTCGGATTTGTCTAATTTTCATGCTCAAGGACATCGGGACACGGTTAAATTTTCTATTTCTTGAATAATTCTTTCATTTATTTAGGGTAAAAAGGTGTTCACCAATTAACATAAGCATTTTTTGCATAGAGTGAAAGTCTTATGCATAGTTTCATAGTAAACTCTACTATTTATACATATTTGTTGGGTGCATGCCCATCTAAGGAAACTGAATACATATCCCATACCCTAGCCCAAACGTTGAGTATGGGGACAAAGGAACTTCACAAATTTAGAAGGAGCCATGTAACCTGGTGTGTGTATATATATTACTTAATTTGAAAGTAAGGAAAAGGAGAAGGATGCCATTTGATAAGATTATTGTCACCGGTTTATTTCCGTTGTTCTTTTTTTTTTCCCAACTTAAACTTTCCCATAATAAAGAAGAATACATATCCTTCTTTTTATCAGGTATCTCAGTGAACAGAAGCTTCCAAAAAGAATGCTAAGTATGCAAAATGGCATTGAGTCTGATGATTGTGACAGTGCAAGTCAAGAAGATGAAGGTAGTGCTGATTCAGGTGAAGATCGCATAGAAGATGAAGGGATACATAGAAAGCTAGAGGGCCTTGAAGCTTGCTCGTTTGAGATAGGGGATTTGCAAGTGATAAGTCTTGGTAATTCTATGTAGTATTAAGCTGCTTCTGCCTTCCTTAAAATCTAATGCATTGTATTTATGTGTGGTTGAACATGCATTATATTTATTTGTGGTTGAACATGCGTTGCAACCCTGTGATGATGAGGTTGTCATTGATGAGAGTTCAATGTTACTGTTCACTTAACTATTCTAGGGCATGACAACTTCATTTGTTTTTTCATACTTGATTTATTTGAAGGCATCAACAAGGAAAAATTACATGTTTGTGGATCATGCAATTTCACTAATAATTGTTCAAATTCATATAGGAAATTATAGCATTGCTTCTTATTTAATTGATTGAGTTCGAGGACTACTCATTCCTTCAACTCATGTGCATACAAATGTCATACAGGAAAGATTGTTAAGGACTCGGAGTATTTTCAGGATGAGAGATTTATCTGGCCTGAAGGATATACTGCTGTGAGGAAGTTTCCTTCTGTAACAGGTGGACCATTTCTTGAAGAATTCTCTCAAGTTTCTTGTATTGCAGCTCTGACATATCTTTCACTCAACCTAGTTTGGTCATTCTAAGTGTTCTCATAACATTTCATTTCTATTCACTTTTGCTTTGAGGCCTCAGATCCAAGTGTTTGTGCCTTGTATAAGATGGAAGTCCTGAGAGATGTCGACTCAAGGACCAGGCCTGTATTTAGAGTTACATTGGATAATGGAGAGCAGGTATGATGTAACCTGATGATGTGAGGCTAAAACTATTAATGTGTGGTTACTTTGATTTTCTTGTTCATTTTGTATGATTTTTTGTTTCTTTGCTCTCTAATCTCTATCATAAACTATTCTTCTCTTGGAGCTTTATTTTGCTCACTTCACACTGCTTCTTAGTCTTATTTTTTGAAGTTTGGATTTTAGTTTGATAACAATAGAAGAACAGTGTGATATATACAAATTATAAATGATTGCTAAGATTCTTAATCACTGAATGAAGTGGCAAAGCATTTCTTCCTGCATGATACATCAAGTCTTCTAGTTTCTGTGAAGTCAATTGCGCAGAACTTCTGAAGTGTGAGCATTATAAATTTGAGTCAACCCTTCATCAATACTGCCAGCCCACTCTATTGGGAGCTCGGCAGCCGGGCTGCAGCTTCTCGGCTGCCAACAGCCATACTGCACTTCAAGACCAAGTGCTTCCAATAACCGAGCTTCGTTTCAGCCGTGCTCGACCGCATTCCGGCGACGCCGAGCACGGGATTGGTCATTCCGGTCAACCAAAGGCCTTCCTACGGAGCTTCAGGCACGAATCTTCATGCTGAACTATGGGTGCGCGCCATCCTACCAAGCAACGCACGAACCATGAAGCCCTTCTAGGCCGCGGACGTCTCAGCCGAGCTCTCACTTGACCGGCCTTCATACCAAAGAGCCCAAGTAGCTCGGCTCCGCAGGCCCTTTGCCATTACTGAGCAAAATCACGGCACAATCTTGAAGCCAAATACCTCGGCCCAATCTTGTTTGGCCGAAACTAGATCATAAATCTCCCTCTCAATATATATTAGTATTTGTTTTTTTCAAGGTTTAGGGTTGATCAAAGAAATTGATGGAATTGAAGGAAGACATACGTACCTAATGCGAAGAAAAAAGTGAAGATCATAGAAAACACATTCCTTACACGATCGATTCACTATAAGAATATTTTTCTTCTGCCATCATTAGAGAGAGAATGGGTTTTGGAGATTTTTTTTTGTTAGGGCTTTGGGAGATAATGGTCTTAGGAGTGTGGAGGTGTGCATTTGAGAGGAAGTGAAATTTTTATATAAGGATAACTTTGGTATTATTTGGAAGAAGGAAAAAAAATTTAAGGGTTGTAAAATTTACAAGGAGAGTTCCAAAGAAAAGGGGGGTCCAAAATAATAAATGAAATGTTAATAGCAGCACTCATAAATACTATAGGTTATATTATCAAACAATAAAGGTTAAGACCCCCTTTGGGGGTCACCCCCTTCACCCCTTTGCATTTGATTGGCTAACTTTTCTTTTTTTCTTTTTTTTCTTTTTTTTTTCTTTTTTTTCTGATCTCTCAATCCCCAACCCCCATGTGTGTGTGGGGGTGGTGGGGATGGAATTTTTAAGGGGGTATGAATCATTGCTCATTATCAAAATACCCTATCTTTTTTTTTTTTTTTTGTTTCCTCTTGTCGGCTCCTATCACTTTTAAATTGATGTCAAGTACCAATCAATTTTAACTCGCTAGTTTCGTATCTAATCCTCATTCCTAATTGATAGTGAGTTCCTTAAGGCTGATGAAAATCCAACTCTGAAAAAAAAAAATGATCAAATGATCTTACTCGCACGATGAATTGACTAATATTAAGTGATTTGTGATTGAATTTGAACGTCCATACACATAGATATATATTTATATTTGTTGTTTTCAGGGTTTAGGGTTGATCAAAGAAATAAATGGAATTCAAGGAAAACATAGGCACCTAATGCGAAGAAAAAAGTGTAGATCACAGAAAACATGTTCCTTACACAATCAATTGACTTTAAGAATATTTTTTTTTCCACCATCATGATAGGAAATGGGTTTTGGAGAGTTTTTTTTTTTTTTTTTTTTGTTAAGGTTTTGGGAGATAATGGTTTTAGGAGTGTAGAGGTGTGCATTTGACTGGAAGTGAAATTTTTATAAGGATAACTTTGGTATTATATGGAAGGAGGAAAGAAATTATAAGGGTTTTAAAATTTATAATGAGAGTTTCAAAGAAATGGAGGGTCTAAAATAATAAATAAGATGCTAATAGTAACACTTATAAATATTACAAGTTATATTATCAAAATATCCTAACCTAATTTTTTTTTTCCCTCTTGTTGGCTCCTGTCACTTTTAAATTGATGTCAAGTATCAATCAATATTAACTCGCTAATTTAGTATCCAATCCTCATCCCTAATTGATAGTGAGTCCCATAAGGTTGGTGAAAATCCAACTCCAAAAAAAAAAAAAAAAAATGATCTAATGATCTCAATCGTATGATGAATTGACTAATATTAAGTGATAGAATTTGACCATCCAAAACCACACGCAACTATTCAAACAATCACATTTTGGAACCAACCACCCCTAGATAACAACTCACTCTAGCATTAGAATCATTCAATTGAATTCAATGGGCTTGAAAACAAAAACATTCTTCATAAATGGAGAAAAAAAAAAGATTTAATATGAGAATATAGAATAAGACCTAAATCAATTCCTAAAACTAGAGCTATACCACAACAGAAAATAATAGGACTCCAGTAGCATTCAAGGTCTCACTAAAAATATATTATACCCATCTTTGTTCCTTTTTCTTGAAATCTGCCTAGAGCTTTTAAAAAACTCCATTAAATAATATTAAATAAACTAATTGTCATTACATTTGATGAATATGAATGATAAAATTGATTTTATCAAATATATATGTATAATACAATCAATTGAGAGATCTAATCAAAGACAATCATATTCCATGTATATATAAAATGATACAACAAAAATAAGAGCTTTGATCCACTTATTACTTTCCATGTTTTGAATCCTTGGCCACTTTTTTCAATTAATTAAGTTATCAAATGGCATTAAAGAATCTAAAATCCACAATCAAATTGGAGTTTGAAAAAGCCAAAATTAGGAGAATGATGAAACTTTGGGGTACTAATAGCACATGTCCAAGATAAATTGGTTCAGATAAAAAAGAGTTAGTCTACAAATACAAAATTAAATCATAAAACATATTTAAAATGTACACATTAACAAAATAAGACCTACCAGAAGCATTCTCATTCATTAATTTCTTAATTACTAACATATAAGACATAAATATAGTGGGACTCATAACAATAAATAAGTATATATAAAAGTTATAATTTTAAGTCTAATTGTAAGAAAATTTAAGTAATATTTTTTAGAAATTCATTGTCTCTTGTCCAGTTATTGGAATGGACGACGTTATTTAAACCTGTGGTACTCACCAGTCCAGTTTTAATCATTTGAATTATTTATTTTTTAAGTTACTTTAAGTAAATTATCCACACAAAAAATCAAACCAATTCAATAGACATTTCTACATAATTTTACCATATGTCTCTAAAAAAATATATGATCTATTTTTATAATCACTAGTGTCCCTTTTTTTTTCAAAAAACAAATGTTATAAAAATAATTACAAATATCGGATCAAGTTTTTTTTTTTTTTCATCAAAGTGACATAAAAAATAAATGATTAAGATAATCAAAACAAAACTTTATACGAACCAAATAACACCGTCTAATCTAATAATTAGATTAGAGACAACTCATTGCCATATTTTCATATTAAATAAATAAAAAAATAAAAAAAGATAGTGGAAAGATTAAAAAAAAACTTTATGATAATTTTTTTATAAAAAAAATATACTTATATAGTTTGCCCAAATAGTGCCTAAATCTTTAGATACATATTGGAGTGCATCATGGGCTGCTCATTTTTATCATTATCATCATTACTCCAAAATTTATTTAAGAAAACGATTTTTTGTGTATAAAACCAAGAAATTGAAATTCTAATGGTCAAAGGCATTGTTCAACTATGTCGGTGGCTGTTGACTGGCTTTAAGGTCAGTCTTGGACTCTATCCTCCTCTAAGGAAATTCCAATAGCATCCTATTTTTCCGCAAATCACTTTCATGCAATCAATCTATCTATCCTATATATGAAGTCAAATGAGATTTTTAACTCACAGGTCTTGTGAGAGTTCTAATATCTTAATCTTAATTTTTTAATTTTTTGATTTAACAAAAAAAAAAACTCAGCATTTATTGTTTCTCCCAATCCAACCTCAATATTTATTAATTTCTCCCAACCCACCATCCCTTTTAACTTCTCTTATAATTACTGCAGCACCATTTTCAATTTCTTTCATACATTATGGTTACACACAAAAATAAAGAAGATAAGAATTTAGCTATAGATCTCAAAAAAATATAACATCTAAATTTGAATTATGATTTAGTAATATAATTATGTATTTTTTATGTATATATCTATTAAAATTTTAAATCACTTAATGGGACAAATTAATCAATTTTCTAAAATTATTAATTTTTTAATTTACAAAATAGATTAAAAAAAATATTAACTGATTTATTTATTTAATAACAAAAATATTTCATAATCTCTCCCTCCTAATCTCTCTCACCAATTTCAAAAAAAAAAATTAAAACTTGAATTCCTTTTCTCTCCTTCAAAAAATCAGACAATATTTTTCATGAAAATTGTGGGTATCTGTCTATATCTTATATATTATATTATAACATAACAAAAAAATTAAAAATCAAATATACAAACCAATAAAATTAATAAATTAGATTTTTATTTATTCAGTTAAAATATTTCTTTTGCCTCTCAATATCCAATTTTAAATTTTAAAAATCTATAAAGTCTATCTAAACAAATCTGATTTGAAAATATCTCTTATTATCATATTTTAAATCAATAAAACTCACATATTTAACTCGCATCATAACTTACCTAAATAATAATAATTAAAAACCCACAACTTCCTCTAAAAAAAATTGAAAAAAAATAAATAGAAACCACACAAAAATAAAGAAGATAAGAATTTATATATGGATCTCAAAAAGATATAACAATATCTAAATTTGAATTATGATTTAATAACATAATTATCTATTTTTTAATGTATATCTA